TCTCTCTCACACACACAGACAAACACAGAGACTCTCTCTCACACACACACACACACACACACTCTCTCATACACACACACACACACACACACACACCTGGGTAGGTTACTTACAAATTGTAATCCATTACTGATTCCAAATTACATGACAAAAATAGTTAGTAACGTAATCCATTACATTACATATTTTAATATAATCAGGCTACTTTTTGATTACTTTTAACTAGTGCTGTCAAATGATTAATCGTATTCAAAATAAAATATCTGTTCACATAATATATGTGAGTGTACTGTGTATATGTATTATGTATATATAAATATTTTGAAAATATTTACATGTATATTTTTATATTCATATAATTTATATTATAAATAAATATATTTAATATATAAACAACTTATTTTTCTGAAATATATACACATGCATGTGTGTGTATTTATATATACCTAATAAATAGAGACAGCACACATACAGTATATACAGTGGGTACGGAAAGTATTCAGACCCCCTTCAATTTTTCACTCTTTGTTATATTGCAGCCATTATATAAAGACAAGTTTTCATTTTGTAGTACATTGTCTTTTTATCTTATTACATTTAGTTTGGACTGCAAAGTTGTGTAAAATGTGACTTATTTTATTGTGTTCAACTCTTTGTAACTATATACACAAATCAGCGATTTCATATGAATTTGTACAATTTGATTTGTACAAAAACATGATTTTTAGAAACAAATAGGCTGAGCATGAAGGAATACCTCCTAAACCTAACCCTTCCTCAGAAATAGTTTGAAATTTTTGCATTCACAACCAGTTTGCAGAAACATAAAATAGATAGGCCTACAAACGACCATGAGAGTATGTTAGATTCAAACAACATGAATGAATTACAAATACACCCTCAGAATAAAAAGGTACAAAAGCTGTCACTGGGGCATTACTTTTCAGAAGGTACACTTTTGTACCTTTTTACCCCTAAAGGCGCATATAGTAGCCTACCTAAAATGCACCTAAATAGTAGTCCCCTACCTTTTGAAATATTAGTATTAGTACCTTAATAGTGCATAGTACCTTTTTTTCCTAAGAATGTACTTAAAAAAATTATGCAGATATATATGTGAATTTTAAGGTAGGCTAGATGTTACAGTGCTGCAAAATGGTTAAAACATTGCAAAGCAATGCAAAGATTTATTCCGTGCATCCATATTTTGCAAATGTGTAAGAGAAAGAACAGTCTTACAAAACATGTCTCAGTATGCATTCCCCAAACAATATCATTATATAATTGCAAAGCCTTATGCTTAGTTGGCCATGGGATCCCAAAGCACCCTTCAAAGCCCCGCAAAAGCTTGTACCTTGCATGGTTTAAAGTAAAACAAACTCTCCCCAGATATATGTTCCCCAGATGGTGGTGTCGCCCTGAACTGACAGAAGTTGTAGCGAGTACACACGCCAACAGGAAGCGCACACAATAGCCACCCAGCGGTTCTGCTCAGAAGACGTGAGCCCCTGACACTGCATTTATTGTTCAGCTCTCATTTCCTGCCGTTGAATACAAATAAATATACTTTTTTTTTTGAATACGACAAGACTAAAAAGACGTGCAAGGCATGTCATGCGTAGGATGAAGTAATAAAAAGCTATTTTTGACTGAAGACATGGTTCTTTTTCTGGAAATTGCTTGTTCATAAAGTATCATCCTTGTGATGATGCTATATTTAATTTGCTTGTCATTAAATCATCATCTAATTACCAAGAGAAATGAATAACAAGAAATAACAACAACAGGTTGAGAAAATATAGGTATCATAACTGTGTTCACAATGCAGTTTTAACTCGTGTATTTCTAGTTGATTCCCTTAAATTATTAAATTTAAAATGAGTCTAAAAGCAGTAATGTGCTAAATATAAACATACTTGTGACTCAGCTAAAACCATGGGTTTGACATGTATAACCATGACTGGAAAGCCGAGTCTCATCAGACTGAAGATGCTCTCAACCAAAAACACTGAAAGGTCAGTACATTCACACTCTGTTTAGTCCATCAGGCTAAAGTTCACGGATGAAAAAAACAAGATGAGTGAGCAATAAGTTAAAGGGGTCATATGATGCGATTTCAAGTTTTCCTTTCTCTTTGGAGTGTTACAAGCTCTTGGTGCATAAAGAAGATCTGTAAAGTTGCAAAGATTAAAGTCTCAAATCCAAAGAGATATTCTTTATAAAAGTTAAGAGTCAGCCACACTGTACAGTATGTGGAAAATAATGTGTTTTTTGAACCTTAAACCGCATAAACACATTTGATTACACCAAATACACAAAATAATGTTCTTTTTAGCAACATCACATGACCCCTTTTAACACACACACAACAGCAGGGGGAGCAGGCCACTCCCGAGCAGTGTTGCCAAGTCCGCGGTTTTATTGAATTGGAATTGGGCTACTTTAACATTGTTGCCGCGGTTTGTTTTTCGTGTCCGCGGTAGAGGTCTGCGCGGGACTGATTTTTTTTTCCTGCAAGGTTATATTCCGCACCCACCCGCTCCCACTATATATTCACTCTTTGTTCACCCGCTGTCCGCTTAGAATAATTTTCTTCCCGACCCGATCGTTCCCGCTAAATTTAGATCTCGTTTCCAGAATCTCACGTTTACATTTCCTCTACTGAAAAAAAGACATAGGCTAACAAATAAAAGTGTAGTCTGCACAAAATTGTAGGCTATGTTATTTTATTCGTCTTGTCAAGAGTCTTGAATTTATTGACTTTGACTTGAATTTATGAATTATCTTAAGACACAAAATTCGTTTAATATTTTATGCAACACATAGGGGAAAAAAAAAGTGTAAGAGAAAATAATGTTGTACAAAAATTGTATTTCTTATTTTTATTCGTCTTGTCAGGATACAATTCGTTTAACATTTAC